GGGGCCAGGGGGGTCCTAGGCTCACCCTAAAACAACCAGTCAGAAGCAGGGGACTAACGTGTGGCAGTGAGACATCAACACCATGGGGACTCACAGACAGAAGCAGCTTTGTTCAATGTAAACATCGATCGGAAGGGACAGCAGTCTCTCTCTCGTGCGTGCGTGCTCTCGCTCTCTCTCGCTCGCTCTCTCGCTTTCCATAGACTGAATAATTTCTTTGAAAACGTAAACATATTGGAAGTGCCTTGACTGAGGTATTGAGGTATTCCTCCAAGGTTAAGGCTGTTACCGATGCAGGCTTAGCTGGGCCTCCTGCAGCAAGCTGTCAAAATCCATGGTCTCGTACTTGCTTTTCACTGGAGCTGGGGAGGACTCCTCTGCGCTGCAATCTGGGAATGGCAGGGACACAAGGCAGCCAGGTCAGGGAGCAGGGCACGAGCGTGCTCGCTGCCTGGCAGGGGGGGAAACTGAGGCACAGCAGGGCACTGCTCACTCCCCCGCTACCGGCATGCTGCATCCCAGCACCGCAAAGCCAGCCTGGACGAGGCGGTGATGGGGAAAGGGAGCGGGGACGGTGCTGTCTTTGCAGCTGAATTCCAAGGTGCTGACACAGGGCCGTCCCGTGGGAGCTGCGCCGGTCGCGGGGACGGGTTGCCTGCTGCAGCGCTCCCCAGCCCTCCCTCAGAAGCTGAACAAACAGTGCCACCACAAAGCCTGGGAAACTCAGCAAATGCCAGAAATAAGGCTGCCTAATTTAACAGCAGCTTAACCCTTTTGGGTGTGTATTTTTGAATGAGCCATGAATGGCACGGTTGCATTTTACCTGTGCCCGTGGGCTCCCCATCTCATCCTGTACCAGGGCAAGCAGGATTTTAGGAATGAGCCAGGCTGTGCAATAAGGGGGTGACTGCTGGCCTTGCAGCAATCTGCAGGTGAGGAGCACTGGGGGGGGGCAGCTCTGGCCCCCCTCCTCACAACACTGCACAGCCACGTGCCAACACCTTCATCATGGGGTGCGATCTGTTTCGTATCTTCTCCATGCCCAAAATGAGAGGCCCTGGGATTATTTAGATGAACAACAGGCATTTGCACCCACAACCAAAGTCAGAGGGAATACTGCTCTGAGCAGATGAGAGATTATAAAGTGCTATAAGAACAGGCAGTACTTGTGTCAGACTGGGCATCTACAGATAAGCCAAGACTTGGGGCTTTATTTTCTGGGCCTCAGTCTCTCATGCATGAAGCGGGCCACTTCACCCCCTGCACAGGGTACAGAAATAAATGCACGGTGTTCGTGAAACACCTGAAGATCACAGCAACGAGGGCTGAGTGATGCCTGGATCACACTTCTCTTGCAGGACTAACATAGGCTCTCACTCCTCTCCCTCAGCTCAGGCTACAGCCCTACCACCCATGGAGGGACGGGGTACAGCGAGGCCCTGGCTAACGTGGTCGCTGAGTGAGGAAGGAGGTCTTGCAGAAGCCTATACAGCACAGAAAGAGCTAATGCAACCGCAGCACATTTCAGTGCTGTCATTTTGGCTCAAAAGTGTGTGTGCAGTGTGGTGAATCTGTCCTGAGGGGCAGCAAACCACCCAGATCACTTCTTGGGCTAAAGGATGTTGCTGACTGCTTTCTCTAATGACTAGGAAGGGAATTCTCTGCTGGAAAGTGTCCAGCACTGTGTAGAAATGCAGTGGAGACAGGATGGGCTGTGGTCAGCTGAGACCCAGCAGCCCTGGGGTTCGATGCTACGTTTTGCAGCCGACACACTCCTCATGCCAGTTGCTTTTCTTCTCTCCCGCCAGTTTCCCAAGCCATCCGACTGAGCTAAGAGCAGCTACGTGAGCCACAGGAGAGCCGGTGTGTTTTCCCTGCAGGCTCTAAAGAGGTTTAGGATCCTTGCATGACTAGGGTTCAGCGGTGCAACATGCCATTACAGCTCTGTGCTGATAAGCAGGATGCTTCAGAAAAAGCAGCTCCTGCTTTCTTACCCAAGTCAGTGTATCTGGTCCAGAAGAAGTGCCCGAGGCCACCAGAGCTGAGCTGAAATGAAGGCTCGTTCCTCTTCCTTAGCAAGGTGCCATTCTTCAGAGATAAGGCGGCATGCTCTGAATACCGGTAGGTGATGAAGCCATATTTATCCCCCCTGAGCAACCAGAGAAAGAAATCAAGATGCGATGGACCCTGCAGCCCCTCTGATGTGGCTCTGCCCAGCACTGCATCCCTGTCCATCCTGCTGTCCGTCCATCCCACCGGCCCTCCATCCCACCAGCACTCCATCCCACTGCCCCTCCATCCCACCAGTCCTCCCTATGCCCTTGGACCTGACCAAGGTGGTTGGCATGGTGCAGAGCACTTCACCCCACTGGCACAACCGCATCACTCACACACGCACAGCTGGATGCAGGGGTAACCCGGCGTCGCCTGGCAGCACTGATGCTGCTGCAGGAGAGGGATTGCCCACAGCCACTGGAGCCCCAGACCATGGCTCGCTCGCCACCCACCTGTTAGTCCTGGACAGGACCTGACACTCCACGATTTCACCAAACACTTCAAAGCGTTTCTTTAGTTCGCTGGAGCTCATGCTGCTGGAGAGGTTTCTGATATACACCACCCGGCCTTCCCCCTGGCAAAGCAAGCGAAAGATTTCAGGCTCCAGGAGCCCTGTGCCTCTGTGCTGCTGGCTGGCTCTGGAAATGCAGGGCCACTGAGGAGCCCTGAGGAGCCAGCGCTGGGAATCAGGCTGCAGCAGGGCGATGCCACCATGGGCACAGCCTCACATCTCCCAGGTCTGTCTGTCTCCGCTCCAG